TAATAATAATAATAATAATTATACCCCGCCCATCTGGCTAGGCTTCCCCAGCCACTCAGGACCGCTCCCAACAGAATATTAAAAACACGAGAAAACATCAAACATTAAAAACTTCCCTAAACAGGGCTGCCTTCAGATGTCTTCTAAAAGTCAGATAGTTGTTTATTTCGTTGACATCTGATGGGAGGGCATTTGACAGGATGGGCACCACTACCGAGAAGGCCCTGTCACCTTACTTCTCGCAGGAAGGTAACCACCAGAAGGCCCTCAGAGCTGGACCTCAGTGTCTGGGCTGAACGAAGGGTGGAGATGCTCCTTTAGGAATACTGGGCCAAGGCCGTTTAAGGCTTTAAAGGATAGCATCAACACTTTGAATTGTGCTCGGAAACATACTGGGAGCCAATGTAGGTCTTTCAGGATCAGTGTTATATAGTCCCAGTGGCCACTCCCAGTCACCAGTCCAGCTGCCGCATTCTGGATTAGTTGCAGTTTCCGAGTCACCTTCAAAGGTAGCCCCATGTAAAGCGCATTGCAGTAGTCCAAGCAGGAGATAACTACAGCATGCACCACTCTGGCAAGACAGTCTGCGGGCAGGTAGGGTCTCAGCCTGTGGACCAGATGGACTGGTAGATAGTTGCCCAGGACACAGAGTGGACCTGCACCTCCATGGACAGTTGTGAGTCTATGGGCACATCCTGGATTCAATCCCTGATATCTCCAGGTAGGGATGGGAATTGTCCCCTGCCTAAAATCCTAATCAGGGTAGACCAGGCACAGGCAACCTTTGGCCCTCCAGATGTTTTGGCCTACAACTCCCATGATCCCTAGCTAACAGGATCAGCGGTCAAGGATGATGGGAATTGTAGTCCAAAACATCTGAAGGTTGCCTATGCCTGGGGTAGACATTGCTAAGCTAGCTGAACTAATGGTCTGACTTGGTTCAAGTTTAGGAAGCAAAGTTAAAACAGGGATCCAATGAGATTATAGAATTCAATCAAATATCTTTAAAAGCCTGAGAGAAAATGCAGACATAATCCAGCCCCTAAAAGAGAGTAATGACGGTGTCAGGTAAACTATTCAATTTCATGGCAATATGAACTACTGCTGGTGGTTTGTTGGTTTGTTTTTAAGTGAGGGACACCCCCAGTTCACTTGACACATTAAAAATAATCAAGATTAGCCATAGATAAACACACACAGTACCCTCGTTACAAGGCGTGGCAGCTAACATGTCTTTAGAAAAACAAGAGTACAGGTTCTTGGTAAGGAAAAATACCCGCCCCCCCAAACCCACTGAAACACACCTAAAATGTAAGGGGGGGGGAAGAAAACCATAAACGGCAAGTGTTTAAATCATTCAAAGTATAAAAACACCTGGTATTGTGAAATCTGGTATTGTGAACACCTGGTATTGTGAAAGAAGATCAAACCTCTCCATTCTGAAGGAAATCAGCCCTGAGTGCTCACTGGAAGGACAGATCCTGAAGCTGAGGCTCCAAGACTTTGGCCACCTCATGAGAAGAGAAGACTCCCTGGAAAAGACCCTGATGTTGGGAAAGATGGAGGGCACTAGGAGAAGGGGATGACAGAGGACGAGATGGTTGGACGGTGTTCTTGAAGCTACCAGCATGAGTTTGATCAAACTGTGGGAGGCAGTGGAGGACAGAAGTGCCTGGCGTGCTCTGGTCCATGGGGTCACGAAGAGTCGGACACGACTAAACAACAACAATTGTGAAATCTAAAAAAATACGAAGGAAAAACAGGAACGGCGGGCCATTTCTTAAACGACTCTTTTCGTGAAATTCTGTCCCTTCTCTACCTAACATCACCAGTCATGATCACTAAGGCAGAAGACCAAACACCCATGTGGGGGTGCTCTTTGCTAACATCACTAACTTCTGAACGCAGTCCATCAAATGAAATCAAACAATATTTGTAGGAATACATATGTTCAGCCCATCACATGGTAGAAAATATGATCATGTTGTAATTAAGCTGGTCATCTATATTCACCCTTTCTCAGACAAAGGCAAGTTTGTGAGAGTCTGTCCTTTACAATGCAGCATGGGAAATGATCTTCATAAACCAAAACAGGCCCTCTTTTCCCAAGTTTAAAAAGCAAGCGGTGTTGCTCATTATTTACTCATTAGAAATAGGGATATTGGTGTTAGGAGGTTACCTGAGGTTCGGGGCCTGTTATAGGTGAAATATTGTTTCTGCCTCCCACAGTGACACCCCCCCCTTTTATAGCAGGAGGTACCAAGCCATGCAAGTATTAGCCTAAAAGAGCAGGATTTTGGCTAGAAGGGATAAGTGGTTTGAGACGATGCGAGTCAAGTTCAGCTCAGCATCCACAAGGTTAAAGGTCCGGCTGTCATGCATAAAGTATACTTTTGGCACTTTCCTCACCACACAAGATGCAAAAGTCCACTCCTATGTACAGCTAGTCAACAGGAAAGGAGAAATTGTGGGTGGGTTTGTAATGAGCTGCTGTCAGCTTCCTGATGACACCTAAATACAATCCAGGTGGTGGGGTAGCTTCTTTGCATTGCAATCTGGATCAGCGAGTCCACTCACCTTCCCTGGTGAGGCAGCATTATGGGTCAGCAGTGGCATCACACAGGCCCCACAAGGGAACTCAGGTCGCTGGGATCCTGCCTGAACAGGTGAGGGGGCAGAAAGCGCCCCCGCACCTATCAGGAGCTGGATTCAAGCCTGCCTGCATGACTGGCCAATGGTAGGCAGGCTTGGGGGACGCGAGTGGTGCTGTGGGTTAAACCACAGAGTCTAGGGCTTGCCGATCAGAAGGTCGGCGGTTCGAATCCCCGCGACGGGGTGAGCTCCCATTGCTCGGTCCCTGCTCCTGCCAACCTAGCAGTTTGAAAGTGCCTCAAAGTGCAAGTAGATAAATAGGTACCACTCCGGCGGGAAGGTAAATGGTGTTTCTGTGCTCTGGTTCACCAGAAGCAGCTTAGTCATGCTGGCCACATGACCCGGAAGCTGTACGCCGGCTCCCTCAGCCAGTAAAGCGAGATAATAATAATAATAATAATAATAATAATAATAATAATAATAATAATTATTATTATTTATACCCTGGACACAGATTTGACCTGTGCCTCCATGGACAGCTGTGAGTCCAAAATGACTCCCAGGCTGCGCACCCGGTCCATCAGGGGCACGGTTACCCCATTCAGGACCAGAGATGAGCACCGCAACCCCACAGTCCGCCACTGCATCTAATGGCCAGGGGTCCCTTTTCCTTAGGCAGGCTTGGACGCAGGGCTGGCCTTGGGGGCAGACCTAATGAAGCAACCACCTGGTTTTCCTTGTCGGATTGACCCAGCAGGCGGACCGGAACTTAATGGTCACCCTATGGCTATGCTAAACCTCTTTCATTTGTATTCAATAAAGCTGTGGCCTTATTCAATCCAAAGTCAAGTGTGTGCTGTCCTTATTCTATATGCAGTCGGTTGGGGTGATGGGAGGCACAAAGCCTTGGCATGCAATTGTCTGGGTTAACAATCCATTTTGAGATGGAGATGCTAAGGGACAGGAGTCCTCCTTGTAACCTGAGGACCCAAGTTCTACTTGAGGTCCCAGTCTCTGAAGCAGCAGCCGCAGCTTTGCGAGTTGGGTGTGCTCCTGAATCCAGCTTTCACATCAGGATATTTAAGTAGCATCCATGGCCTTTTACAGTCATTTGGCCATTTTCATTTGAGTTCTGGTAACATCGTATTTGGACGACGACACCAATGTGCCCTGTGTAGGGCTGCTCTGGAAGACTATGCAGAACATGTATCCAGCCCAGATCATTAACTGCCAGTGGGCATCAACAGCACCCAACGCCTGTTATCTGGCAACTGGTTATTGTCTAGGCAAGATGCAAGGTGCCAATTCTTACCTCGGAACTTGAATACTTCTGGAAGCATGTGCTTCAATATGTCCTCCACCCTTCTAACAAATATACCTAGATCTAATTAGATGCTGCCTCCAAATGCCTGGATATCATAACCAGTAGTCCCAGGGCATGCTCCGTACCTGGATGGGAGAGGTGACTGCCTAGGGACCACCTGTGCACCGTCTTGGCTTCCATGATGGAAGGAATGCGGAGATATCAATGGAAGAAAATACAACAGTGGCCACAAAAATACAGGGCTCTCTCAGTTACAGCACCCCTGCCCTCGTTCCCCAAGGCACAGCCTTCTGATGCCTTGCTAAGACTATGGTTTCAAAAGGTCTTTTGGACGAGCTATGGTTTGGCACGTTTTAGCTCAGTGCGGGCTGGCTGGATTTTATCGCTGAGTTTTGTGCTTTTAAAAAAGTTTATAAAGTGTTCAAATGACTTCATTTGGTATTTTAACGTTTAGTTATTTATTCTGTGAGTCTAGGGGGCCAAAGGGGACGCGGGTGGCGCTGTGGGTTAAACCACAGAGCCTAGGACTTGCTGATCAGAAGGTCGGCGGTTCGAATCCCCGCGACGGGGTGAGCTCCCGTTGCTTGGTCCCTGCCCCTACCAACCTAGCAGTTCGAAAGCACGTCAAGTGCCAGTAGATAAATAGGTCCTGCTCCAGCGGGAAGGTAAATGGCATTTCCGTGCGCTGCTCTGGTTCCCCAGAAGCGGCTTAGTCATGCTGGCCACATGACCCGGAAGCTCTACGCCGGCTCCCTCGGCCAATAAAGCGAGATGAGCGCCGCAACCCCAGAGTTGACCACGACTGGACCTGATGGTCAGGGGTCCCTTTACCTTTACCTTTTAGGGGGCCAAAAGGCAGGACAGGGGTGAATCAAGTAAATACACCTGCCAACTGGTTCAGCTGCGAAATCAATGCTGCCCCCCCCCATCAGAGTCCTGCCTTCCTTCTTCCCATCTTTTTCAAGGTCCCTTTCCTTGGCTCTCTGTTTTGGGAGCACGCCACGGTTTCGGGAAAAGCAGAAGCGGGGGAATGACAATAGGAAAGGAAAAGCTTTTGACTCCGGCCTCTGCGCTCGTCACTTACCAGTCACTACAGGGTATGTCTGGGGTCCTGACACGTTGTTCCCCAGGTCTGGGTTAGCAGAGCTGGATAGACTTGACTTGACTTCATCAAGACCAGGGGTCAGAGCTGGGAGGGAGTACTCATTACCCTAGGGGAGAGAGAAAAGAAAGCTCTCTATTGATGGGCTGGAAGGAAGGGAACGGTGGGCAGATGGGAGGAGGGGGTGACAGTTAGGAAGAGGTGCAACGCGGTCCCTGCACAGATGGAAGCAAAGAAGGAGGGCACAAAGCAGAGGAAGGGCAAGCTCTGGCCAGCACCCCCAGCCCCCAGCCCACCTCCTCTTGCCTATGAATTTCCTTGTCCCTTATTGGCCAGATTCTATTGGCAGATGCTACAAGATGGAGGTTTGGCTGGGAGAGACCCCTTCGTTCTTTGAAAGGCAGATTCAGAAAACTTGACTGTTCTCTCCGCAGAGTGTGGAAAGGCGACTGCAGAGTGTGGAAAAAGGTTCTGCTAGGGGCAGAAAATGTCCTCTGGGGGTGTTTGCATGGTGATGAAGGGTGGGATTTGCTTGCTGATCAGCTCGTTCCCCACAGCCGTTCTTGGGCTCTCTCTCTCTCTCTCTCTCTCTCTCTCTCTCTCTCTCATTTTATTTATTTTTTTATTTATTTTAAAAGAGCTTCCTTTCTTGCTTCCCCCAACCCTTGTGCATTGGGGTATGAAATTGGGGTGGGGGCAGGCCACATGGCTAACAGAAGGGTGGGAGGGGGAAAACCTCATTGCATTTGAAAAGGGTGTCCTGTCCAAAAGGCACTGGGTAATTGCCTTTTTATTGTGGCAGCCTCCAAACCAGACACGGGAACCGGAGAGACTACAGGAGGGGGGGGGGAAGCAGGAAAAGTTGTTCTGATTAATATTACGTTAAATTAAAACTGATTTTCTGCTCTTTTTGCTTTGTTTTTCCCCTGTCCCCGCTTTCCATGCCAGCTCCCAGAGAGCTGCCCTCCTCCTGCCGCCCTCCCTGGCCAGCCGCGATTGCCTAGTCATTTCCAATTCCTTCTTGTATTGATCTTCCTGTAGAAATCAGTTTTGTAATTAGCTGCAAATTAGGCTTTCTGCTGGGGGTGAGGCTGCCCCCTGATTTATCACTGGAGTAATTCGCTGTGATCGGAGAGAAATTAAAATGAACTCAATTAGGCTTTGGATTTGCTTTATGGGCCCCATTCAGAGTTTCTGGGGGAAGAATGACTGTGCTGGTGTTTAATAGTCTAATGAAAGTAAATAAAGGTTATTCATTGTAATAAACTCAGGGACTCGGGGATAGCAGGAGCCTAAAGCCAACCTCTCCTTCACTTCCCATTGTTGGCTTACCGCTTGGGGTGATTTAAAAAAGACTTTTGATCTTTGTGTTAAAGGCAAACCGCTTGGGGGATAAAAGGCAAGCCCTGGGGGCGGCAGGTAAAGATGAAGGAGGGACAGAGCTTTCCAAAGCAGCGCTTGGGCTTGGCATCAAGCAAAGGGAAAAACGCTCCATTCATTCTGCACAAGTCCTTAGCTTCTGCTGGCTGGGCTGAACTGAAAGAGGAGGACTTCCTGCTGAACTGTATCAAATCTGCGTCCGCACAGCTTGTGTCCTGTCTCTGACAAGGGCACAACCACCAACACCATCAGTTGGGAGATGGCACAAGGAAGCTCTGTTTGGCCGTTAGGAAGCTCAAAAGAAGAATTCTCTGTAAACTGAAGGGTCTGTTAAATCAGAGGTGAGCATTTTAGTCAGTGACTCGGCTTCCTTCTTGCCTAAAGTTTGACATTATTATTTTTTAAAACAACAACAACACACCCCTCGTTTTTGCAACCTAACAGTCCTGTATTACTATGCACAGGAACAGAATGAGAACTTACAGGTCCTCTGATAACTGCTCTACAATATTAAAACAGAAATTGGGAGCCCATTTTTTCTTTTCTCGGAGGATAAAAATAAAATAATGCTGCATTATTTTACAATAAATCATGATTTACAATAAATGTTTCATCTATTCATTATTTATTGTGTGTGTGTGTGTGTGTGTGTGTGTGTGTGTGTGTGAGAGAGAGAGAGAGAGAGAGAGAGAGAGAGAGAACTTCCCAGGAAATACTTACTGAAGAGTGGTATATAAATCAATTAAATATTTTTTTTTTAAAAAAAACCCACTCAAAGGACTATCCTTTTAGAAAATATCTATCTAAATCTCTGTGCAAGAAATACTGTTTTTACACTCAGCTGTGACATCTCCTATTGGAGTTCCTACTTGGGGAAGGGAATTAACTGTCTGTGACCTTAATGAGAACAAAAATTACACTGATGTCTTATAGGTAATGTGCACAGAATCTGGTCAACTGAATCTTCCAAAGTAGCCTTCGTTTGTGTATCCCAGATGGAAAAATATAGACTACTGCCGTCTTTAGGACACAACTGTTGAGCACAAACAAGAGTGCATGTGTACATATTTTGAGTGTGTCCTTACACAATCAAATAACCAAAGGGAAGGCATGTGTGTTCACACAAATGCCTAAATGGTGTGTTTGAGTGGCTGTGATTGTCTGAAGAGCGTTGCAGGAAGTGTGCAATTCCCAAAGTGATGTAAGCGTGGATGTGAGTTATAGGTTGACTTCAACATTATCATCCAAGGTGCCTCGAGGTGTACAAACAATACTATCGGAAAGCAGTATGTGTGTCTGTTTCCAAAAGGAGGCATGGAAAGAACCGTTCTATTGGGGGGGGAGGGGAGCTACAGAAGACACAAGACTTCTCTAGAAAATGTGCCTGCATGCTAGTATTTCTGCATCACATTTCCATGTACCTTAAAGCACAAAGTGGGCACACCAGCACCTTTCAAAAGTTGGAGATGTGCTTTCTGTGTGCTTGGGTGTGTGAGCATGCAGGCAGATTTTGCACAAGTGTGTGGTGCATAGCTGTCAACCGTCCCTTATTTGGCGGGAAAGTCCCTTATCCCAGCACCATGTCCCGCTGCTGTCCCTTATTGATGATGTCTCTTAAATTTCCTGGGTTTCAAAGGAAGCAGCTCCTCTCCCTCCCTCCCGGCCAGGGAGGAGGGAGGCTCCAACTGTATTGCTTGGCTGCGTTGCTCACCCAATAAGGAGTCTAAGAACGACTGGGGATGGAGCTTGCGTGCCTTGTGCCGATCAAATCGGCCACGTTGCCTGGGGACTCGCCTTTGCTCAGCGCTTCCCAGCGGAGAGGTGACGGTGGTTTTCCTTGCTGCATCCCCTTTGCCGGGTTGCTGCGCTGTGGGAACCACCGCTTGAGGCTTTGTTTGGCTCCTGGCTGGGCTTTCTGCCTTTGGCTGGGAGGGGCTCAGAAGTTGAACATAGCTGTGCTCTGAAAATCCCTTATTTTGGCTGCTGATCCCTTATTTTTGAGGCTGCTGGTCTCTTATTTTCAAATCTGTAAGTTGACAGCTATGGTGTGGTGACAACTGGGGAAGCAAATGATGCGTGCATGCCATGGACTCAAATGAGTTTTTTGTCTGCCTGTCGTTCTTTCGAGACAGTTGCAGATATGACCCATTTTAAAAGAGTGTGGGGACTCACAAAGAAAAGTATGCCAAGTGGGAGGGTGGGCATGTGAAAATGTATACATCCTTTACACCACAAACTCATGTTGGTTTCACGCCAATTTAACTGTCATGGTTTCCCCACAGAATTCTGGGAACTGTAGTGTGGGGAGGGCATGAGAGCCTTGTTGAAAGGCTGTCCCCCCTCATGCAGCTACAGTTCCCTGGGGGGAAGGGGTGATTAGGAAACCGATTTGAGGTCTGTAAATGCAGAGTAAGGCAAGTACAAGTACCGTATTTTTTGCTTTATAAGACTCACTTTTTCCCTCCTAAAAAGTATGGGGAAATGTGTGTGCATCTTATGGAGCGAATGCAGGCTGGGCAGCTATCCCAGAAGCCAGAACAGCAAGAGGGATTGCTGCTTTCACTGCACAGCGATCCCTCTTGCTGTTCTGGCTTCTGAGATTCAGAATATTTTTTTTCTTGTTTTCCTCTTCCAAAAACTAGGTGCGTCTTGTGGTCTGGTGCTTCTTATAGAGCGAAAAATACGGTAAGGAGGAGTGAATCAGCTTCTCCAGCTGCATGTATCCCAAATGCTTCTCTCCCCCCCCCCCCCGCCCAAGCTGGGTCCACACCTGCTCAGATTTGATGTGCTCTGATGCCTGGAAGACATCAGGGTAAGAAGGACGCTCGAAGACCCGATCTAAAGCTTCCAGCTGCTGCTGCGTGAAAGTGTCGGCGCGAAGGTGCTTCCGCAAACTATCCACACTGCTCTGGGAATCGCCGTTGGGGACTGAGCCCTCGGATACTTCTGCGAGACACAGGAAGAGATAACAGGGCATTAGTGAGGGTCGTCTCTCTCTTGCCAAAAGCACCCAATGTCTCCTTCTCAGTTCTCTGGGCAAGAGGGTCTGGGAACCTGGCGACGTTCGCTCCAGATCCCAGGCCCGTCTCCCAAGTGTCTTTTTTTGTGTGAGATGTCCACCCCTTTTAGAGGACAACATCGAGGCTTCAGAACCAAGCCCAGTCTGCACAAACTTGTACTCTGTGCTAGAGATGGCGTTTCACTTGGTGTTTGGGGCTGTTTGCATCAGCCTGGTGCAATCTGGGCTGTGGAGAATTAGGGCTCAGTTTTTTAGTCTGATTATTCCTACTCTTTAATATATATAATCACCCAATCTACATACCATGTAGCAAAAAAGAAAGAAAGAAAGTGGGGGGGGGGGAGGTGAGGGGAAAGTATAGGACACCTGCTCATACAGGATACAAACAGTTTGTACCTCTTTACAGAAAGGGGTGGCCTTTTAGAGCAATGCTCTCCAGTGCTCTGCATATAGCTTTTGTACAATAGTTCCAAATGCATATTATCACTTAATGAACCACATTCTGAAAGCAACAAAAAACCATGCACTCAAGGCTGCTGGCGCGATTCCCCCACCTCAACCCACATGTCTGCAGTCCTGTTAGTCTACACATCTTTCTCTCTCTGTCTGTGACACAAATAGAGACACACACACACACACTTTGCATCAGATCAAATTCTCTGGGCAGTCCACACCAAGCTGGGCACTACCTCCTGAACACAAAACCTCCACTTTACTATGCTCCGGGGCAGAAATTCTCTGTTTCTTAATCCTACTTGTATGTGCACTCTGTCAGGCTAAGGTCTCGAGTTGCTGTTCATATACCACCTTCGACCTATGCTAGACAAATTTGATAGGAAACAGCTTTGTATTACGTGTATGCAGCCATATTTAGATTTTTTTGGGTAGATTTGCATTGCCCATCGCATGACGAGATCTCAAAACAAGCCCCAACATCACTGTAAACAGACCACTAAATAATTACATTTGATTCGTTATTGAGGAATTGCCCATCCACTTCCCATGTCAGGCTCTGTCTATTGCAATCCTCACCAACTTCTGCATCCGGTTATCAGGCACGGAAGGGTGCAATTTTGTGCATGCCTCCCTACGCAGGGAATAATCTGGAACCTCAGACAGCATCCCCCCCAATTCCAAGTTGGTTTGCGCTTGCAGAGATACAACATCAAAAGCCTAGCGATGAATCGCCGTTCAGGTTTCAAGTTGTCATTAATGACAGCTTTGTTGGGACAGATACTGGGAGGGTGTTGTGGACTTTGCACTGTTCTCTTCCTCCCTGTGAGAACCAGGGGGGTCTTCAGCAGCCAGACTATAGAGACTATAGTTTTGTCTCTTGGCTTCCTATCTCAAGGAGCCTGCAGTCCAAAGCTTGCTTCTCCATTGTGGCCTTACGGTTGTGGCCACTTCCCTCCTGACTGTTATACATGTCAGTTTATATGTGATTATACAATATGATATAATCAATACTGCATTATATACAGTAACCTAATACAATATCACTTGTAAGACCATGGACAATATTACATATTGATTAGTGCAAGCTTGCAGCCTCCTGCTTCCCCACCCTCCCCGACATTCTCATTCAGTGTGGGGGTTGGGGAAGAAGCTGGAGCTAAACTACCTTTCCTCATCTCATTTCCATAGAGTGGGATTTGGGGATCACTGACCCCCCCCAAAAAATGCTCAGAATCCATGGGTACCACTCATGCTTGTATTCAGAGGTAGACTTCACAGCAGGAGGGTCGGCGGAAGGAATAATGGGCACAAACCAGTCAAAAACAAGCCCTTCTAATCCCAGCGATTGAAATGGGAGACATGCAAGCACATGTTTGACGCTGCCATCCTTAACTTGTTTCTAGATTTGCACCTAAGATCAGAGTTTGTACATTGGAATGGCTCAGCAACACTGTCAGGAAGCTAGGGAAACATAGGAGGACCTCAGAAAAGTTTCAAAGAAAGTGGGTTTTTTTTACCTTTTATGCAGCTCAGTGGGAAAGGAAACAGTATATGAAAAAGTCTGAAATGTATCTGTAGGTAGGGACAGGCATCGGACCCTGTGAGGGTGTTGGGCTAGGACCCTATAAAATCTATAAAATCTACAGGCAACTATAAATCACCAAGTCATTTCTGGGTAAGTGTAATATACCTTTTTTTGTCTAGCTTAAGGACAATGGCTGATTCTAGGCTGTTGCATGACTTCTGGTGACAGGTGCAGCAGTGGAGAAGCGAAAGGAGAAAGGAGCCTGAAAACAAAGAGTCTCTGGAATGCAGATACACAGGGCTTCCCACACTTCCTCTTCTCCTGCTGCTCCCCCCCCACCAAACCAGCAGGGGAAACTGCTCTTTAGTGCTCAATCGGAGCAAAGGGCAATTCAGGTTTCCCCTGGACTGCCAGTTGTTCCGATCTATCACTAAAGAGTGGGTTTTCCCTTGGAAAGAACTGGGGCAAGCGCAGAGGCACCATCTTGCGTCCAGGATTTGGGGGTGGGGGCAGCACATGTCGTGCATGTGTGGTGTCATACATGTGGCACCAAATTGTCGGGAGGAGGCCAAGCGCTGAGCCCAGAAAGAGCCAACCATTGAACCGTGCTGCCTTTGGCCTCCTCCTCCTCCTCCCTCTCAACATCACAGGGGCCTTGCCAGAAAACACCGAGGGGGCTGAAGACCCCTCTGCCCCTAGGAGTTGGTGCACTTAGGCAAGCAGAAAACCGATCGGACCCGTGCTTTCAAGGCTTGCTACAAGGAGAAATGTAGACGACCCCCACAGTGTCAGAGGCAATTGGGAGCCAGCCAGGTCCCCGTCTGGGGTGCCTCAGTGCTCAAGCCGCTCTTAACCCGAAGGAAAAGCAAGGGGAGGAATGCGGACGATGTTCTAAAAATGAATTAGGCGGCAGTCGAGGAGGAGTGGGAGGGTGGCAATGACAGTTATTGGACAAGCATGAATTTCGCTCCACCTAATCTATACAACGGGGAGAAATAATCTATATAACATTTCAGGTTCAAAAGTCTGTTTGACATTCTGCCTTCTCTTCCCATACATCACACTGCTTTGCCAGAACGGACTGTCTGAAAGCCGTGTTTGGGGGGTTTCCCCCTTCCCCGCCACACACATGCAGGCCAGAAAAAGCCCGGACGACTGCCATGTGAAACAGCGCACTGGAAAGTCACCAGTTTTGGTCCAAAATCTTCAAGCCCCCTTCCTCTCTCTCCAGAGGACTAAATGCAAACGGGCAAATCAATGTATTCAAATGCGTACCTCGCCACCACCCTGTGAGCCAGGAGTAGCTTACATTTATTGAACGGCCTCCACTGTGCGATTGTGGGAGACAGGAGGAGATAAAAAGGCAGGAGGGTTATGAGGGCGCAGGGAGCAGAGAGAAGGGCACATGCTAGCACCTCTTCAGGCAAGATCAACATGGGAAGCTGCGGAGGACAGCAGGCGCGAAAGAGCAAAGGACACATTGGGATAGGGAGGAAGCAGTGCCGGATTTAAAGGTAAAGGTAAAGGGACCCCTGACCATTAGGTCCAGTCGTGGCCGACTCTGGGGTTGCGGCGCTCATCTTGCTTTACTGGCCGAGGGAGCCGGCATACAGTTTCCGGGTCATGTGGCCAGCATGATTAAGCCGCTTCTGGCGAAGCAGAGCAGCGCACAGAAACGCCGTTTACCTTCCCACTGGAGTGGTACCTATTTATCTACTTGCACTTTGACGTGCTTTCGAACTGCTAGGTTGGCAGGAGCAGGGACCGAGCAACGGGAGCTCACTCCGTCGCGGGGATTTGAACCGCCGACCTTCTGATTGGCAAGTCCTAGGCTCTGTGGTTTAACCCACAGCACCACCCGCATCCTTATTGCCAGATTTATGTATAAGCTAAACAAGCTATAGCTTAGGGCCCCACTCTTTTGGGGGCCCCCAAAAAATGTAAAGGAAAAAAAACACTTGGATATACATTTCCAAAATATAAGATACAAAACAAATAAAATAAAACCTACAAACAGCAACAATGTTTTGTAGGCTCCTGTGATGTAAGTCATGGGCCCCGCCTGCTAGCCTGCTCCCTAAAATATCACTGGTTTGCTCATTTCTATATATAGGGTGCCTACATTCTGCATCTGCAAATGGCTTTAGATACCTATTAGGTCGATAAATTACCATATAGCATAAAAAGGTAAAGGGGACCCTGACCATTAGGTCCAGTCGTGGCCGACTCGGGTTGCGGCGTTCATATCGCTTTATTGGCTGAGGGAGCTGGCGTACAGCTTCCGGGTCATGTGGCCAGCAGGACTAAGCCGTTTCTGGCGAAACCAGAGCAGCGCATGGAAACGCCGTTTACCTTCCCGCTGGAGTGGTACCTATTTATCTGCTTGCACTTTGACGTGCTTTCGAACTGCTAGGTTGGCAGGAGCAGGGACCGAGCAACGGGAGCTTACCCAGTCGCGGGGATTCGAACCGCCAACCTTCTGATCAGCAAGTCCTAGGCTCTGTGGTTCAACCCACAGCGCCACCCATGTCCCTTACCATATAGCATATATTCAACACACAAAAAACAGTGACAATTTGTTGTTGGCAAAGGACAGCTGGACATATAAAGGGCCCCATTACCTTTAGTAGCTTAGGGCCTCATCAAACCTAAATCCGGCCCTGGGAGGAAGCCAGCAACTTGAGCATGGTTGTCCAAGGGCATCAGGTAGCAATAAGCAAGGGGTGGGAATCAAGCCATCCTCTGCATGCAGGGATTTTCTCCACCCAGGAGATATTGTCAATCCATATTCCAATTAAATAGCAGACCTTAGTGCTGGTAGCATTAGCCAACATGTGCAATACAGTTTACATGTGTGCATCCCCATCCGATTGGCAACAAGGCTATTGCACCATAAATGAAAGAACGCTTGTCTGTCTCTGGAGGCTTCAGAATAACGCCAGCGCA